AGCGGCCTCCTTCCGTCCGTTTGTCGTGTCCGTCCTCCCTCCGAGCTCCCCCGCGAGCAGGGTTCTCCCCGTCGATAAACGAAACCACCCTCGCGACGATCGAGACACCTCCGTGTGGTCGCAGTTTCCGTCGTTCGGTCGTGAACGCGACAACAACGGCCCGTGACACCGGTTCGCCTTCGAATCGGTTGCCTCGCCGCGCTACGCCGCGCTACGCCGCGCTACGCCTCGCCTCGCCTCGCCTCGCCTCGCCTAGCCTCGCTTCGCTACGTTTCGACCGGTCCGCTAGTCGACCCTCGGCCTCGGCCATTTTCGTCCGTGCTCGATCGGATTTTTCAGTTGCGGCTTTGGTCCGCGACTCGAGATCCAAGGTTCGATCGGAATGGGTAAGTGGCCGTTTTCTCGTTGCTCCGTTCGCATCGGTGTCGGTGAGAGAGAGGGTTCGAGGAACGTTTTCCGGACGATCGTTCTCGTCGGAACAGGAAGAACGCTGCCGACTCCGGTCTCCTGCAAGATCTGCGGCGACCGCTCGTACGGGAAACACTACGGGATCTACTGTTGCGACGGGTGCTCTTGCTTCTTCAAGCGATCCGTGCGTCGCGGCGCGCTCTTCACCTGTATAGGTTCGAGTCATCCGTCGATCCGCGCGCGTCCCCGTCGCCGCCTCTTCCTGACTCCTCGGTTTTCGTTGCAGCTGCCACGGGAGCCTGCACCGTCGACAAAGCGAGACGCAATTGGTGTCCGCACTGCCGCCTGCGCAAGTGCTTCGCCGTCGGCATGAACGCAGCAGGTAAGAGTCGCGTATACGCTCGCTCACGGCTCGAACGATCGCGGCAGCCAAACGAGATGCAAACAATACGCGTCGCGCACCCTCCGCGGCCGTCTCGGCCCCCGCACCGACGGAGGGGGCATCGATCGAGGGGCTTTCGACGCCGAGGAACCAACGGACGGAGAGAGTGTAGTTTCGTTTTCCGTAGCCGTTCAAGAAGAACGAGGACCGCGCGTTCGCAACAGGCCCTCGGCCCTCGGGGCCCTCGAGGCCCACGCGAACCTCTCGTGGGGAGCACCGCCGGCCGACCGAGCCGCGACCTCCTCCTTCGCGGGACACGGTTCGCCGAGGGCGATCCTCGACGCCGGAAACGGCTTCTCGTTCTCGTCGGGGTCGCGTTCCGTGCGAGCAACGAGAATCCACGGTACGGGTAACTCTCGACCGAGCGCGTTCCGCTTCTCGTCTCTCCGCGCCGCGCGTCCGGAATGGAAATGCTCGTTTGAATGCCCGCAGGACCGGCCACGGTGCGATACGAGGTCGCCGCCGAGATATTCCTCGCGACGGTGCGGGCCGCTCGGACGCATCGAGAGTTCTCGATGCTGCAACCCGCGGAGCAGGACGGGATCCTCCGGAGAGGATGGGCTGCGGCGTTCGCCCTGCGAGCAGCGATCTGGCCGATCGATCTGTCCGCGTTTCGGAGCCGGCCCGGCTCCGCGTACGACCCTCTGGCCGCCGCGCGCTCCTCGATCGGCAAACTGCGCCCGGACCCGACCGAGATGTCGACACTGGAGACGTTGGTCCTCTGTCGGCCCGGTAAAGTTGCGCGACGCGAACGCTACCGGAAATGCCGCCAATTCTCTGAAACCGTTCCTCTTTCTCCTGGAAATCTAGAGATCGCCGAAACCGCCACCGCCATCCGTCTGACCGGCCGGGCGACGGACGCGGCGCTGGAAGCTCTCGTCCGGCATCTGAACGAACGCGCCGTCGAACCGTGCTCCTCGAGGCTGCTCAAAATCATGCTGGTCTTGCCTACTCTGACGGCTTGTTGCCCTCGGGATTTGGCCGGCGAGCTATTCGCGCCGATCATCGCGGACGAGGATCTCGAAAGGGTGATCGAATCTGTACGCTGAGGCGCGCTCCTCTTACCCTCTTCGCTTCCTCCCATTCCCCCCTCTCCACTCGTCTTGTTGCGCTTCTCCGACTCACGATCGCGATACCGCGACGAGACGAATATCTAGTCACGGTAAGGTAGTCTCTAAACTTTGTCCGTCCTACGTCGTCCCATCACTCGGAATCGCGCGGATTCGCTCGCCACGAGGAAACCACGAACGTCGAACGTCTCATCGGATCGCAGCGAGGAGAAAAAGCTTGCGTTCGGTTGTATTTTCTTTGGCACTTTATTGAGGCAAATGTAACAATTTCATGAAATACGATATGTACAATTCCTTAAAGTAATATGGCGCATTAGAAAACACGAGAGGAGCGAAGGTGGAAACGGGGCACCGCGAAAGCCAACTTTCGCGTCGGGAGAGAGTCCCGAGGGGCCCCCCGTTTTCATTCTCGCTCGATCCTTCGTTTCCCCCGTGACCGACTCGAGCGGAATCTTGCGAATAACGGAAACAAAGAAGAGAACAACTGAAAAACGCCGAGTAGAAAAATGAATCGAGAGAGAGAGAGAGAGAGAGAGACGTGCCGCGAGAGGAATTAGCGATAAGTCCGAATGCCTGTGTACTCGCGCGACGCGAGAAACGCGTA